TGCTGTCTGAGCCCGACTGCCCCATGCTGTGTAATTGCAATGAGGTCGTTTCAATTTTTCCCCGGACTATTATCTTCACTGAGGGATTTTCTGTTTGTTTTTCTCTAAGCCATTTTACTTTCATTGTCAGGGATTTCTAAAAACGGGAGCTAGAGTACGTTCTTTGGCGGAGCACAAAAGATTTGTTTAACAAAAGCAGTAAGCAAGAGAAAGGAAACTCCATGCCCCACAATCCATCATAAAGCGTGAAAACCTTTCTGGCTTTTTCTGCGACATACATTCACGCCGAAGATACAGAACTTCTTTGCTGTCAAGTATCTGAGATTTGTCAAAGATCTTCAAAAACATTCAGAATATTTTTCACAAGAAGAGAGATGTTGACGGCGAGAGCGGCAAAAGCATACTGAAAAGGTCAAGTTCACACAGCAAATATTTGACGCAAGTAAAAGTATACAATCTGCCCCAAAATTACAGATTTTAGTCCGATACAAACTTTAACTATGAAAAAAAAAATCGCCATCCACTTGTTTGCTGAACATTTTCTCCTCACATGTCAATACCTTCTTGGATGAGTAGACCAAAAACACATGGACATCAAATGTGCAAAGCCAGCACTTCAAGCATGAATTGATGGTACTTTCTATACGAAGAATTTGACCTTTCACTTTAGGCCGACTCTGGCCCTGCTGTTATTAGTTCAAACTGTGGTCAAAGTGAGCAATTTAAGCAAATTACAACAACTGTCTGTGAAGCACATTGAACTTAACAGGGCTGCTATCGAAGGTCAGCAAAGCTGCTTTCGCCGTTTTCTTTTTTGCATCGTGTGGTACATTGAAAGTTCATGCTATGTGGGTCGAATCATGAGGGAATTATGCAGCTATTGTCTAGTCAAGACAGAGTTGGCAAAAAAAAAAAAATCACAATCACTTACCTACTATGACTCATCTATCATAATTTCTGTATTTTGTTGAGGAACTTTGATTCAGAGTTACAACCCTAACGGTAACCTGAACTGGTATTCATCATTATTACGTCTGGTGCTACATGCTTTTCCAGCTATCAGACATAAAAACATGAGCTAAAGTTCTTTGACCTTTGAAAAATATAATATAATTACATAATTAAGTTTCCACAGAAGCAGCTTCAAGACAGAATGAAACATCATCTTTAACATTAAATGAGAAGCAATGATGTGGAGAAAAGATAAAAAAAAACAAAAAAAAACAACTTGGGCAAACACACACAGATGCATGCACACAGCCACTAAGAGGTCAAGAACTGCAGGAACAAAGAGCCTCTAAATGGGCACATTAATTATAGATGAAGAGAGATGCATTTATAGAGCTGAACACAAAAATCTTAAGGGTATGCCTTGTTAACATGCATACACACACAGAGACACATGCACTCATCAAATGAAACCACAATGCTTGCACAAAATGCTTCCAAATGAAACACTCTTATCCATATTCATAGAGAGTTCAAGAGTATTCTGCATAGACCGTAAATTAAAATAAGCACCTTCTGCAATGCATCGCTTCTGCCGTTTACAGTAAATCTATGATGATGTCTTAGTTTGCTGCAGAATGATGAGCACAAAACATTTGAGCCGTCATCGTTCTAAGCTGGCCAAATCTATCAGTTGCAACTTGGCGAACACATGACAAATAAAATGCAAATCAATTTCATAAAGATTCCGCTACAAACTTTCTGACACATTTTAGCGACTTTAGCAAAGTGCTTACAGAGCAGCCGAATATTTGAGCCTCGGGGCACAAGCTTGATTCATTTACAGCGCAGATTTCATTTGAGTTCTACAGAGAAGCTTTAACACCATCAGGCAGGTTTAAAGTTTGGAGGCAGGTTATTGAAGAAAAAAAAAAAAAGAAACTGCCAGCTTTCCTTCACGACTCTTATCTTGCCAAGCACATTTCCTAAAGCTCTTGCTTAAATCAATTCTGAAGACGACTGCATTTTATGAAATAAGATATATCGCCGCCTTCCTCTCTCAGCTGGTCTCCGCTGCAAGTCAACAGCTGCGCCGCAAGATCGTAACTATTTGGAATTGATGTTGAACCTTCTTGCGATCTTTAAATCCTACAGCTACTGCCTGTATGTTCTAGCTGATGTTTGTTTTTTTTTTTTGTTTTTTTCTTACAATGGAGCGACAGTGGTAAGATCATGTAAAATAACCTTTGGAATCACCCAATTTTCCTTTCCGATCTGGTTATAATACATACAAAATAAATATGCTAAAATACATAAACAATTATAAACTAAAATCAAACTAAAAACAGCTGTACTGACCACCTTTCTTGTGTAAAATTATCAAGGAGAGGATTGGTTGCCGAGGCCATTTCTTCATGCTTCATTTAGTTGCATGTGCTCATTTTTGTCTGTCGATCAAATCAGTGCAGAGACTCTGAGCGAACCTGCGGCAGGCAGCCAACCGTGTCCACGCAGAAGCTTGCACAACAGTGGAAAATGCTCCATGACAGGAAGCAAAGGAAATCAGCCTGGGAAAGTAGCGTTATTGTTCTGTTTAGTTCGTTAAAAAGGAATCAAATGTGAATCACTTTGATTGACATGTTTTTCTTATGGTATTCTTTTTCTTTTCTTTATTTGCAAAGAGCCCAACAGCCTCAGTGAGATTTCGCATCTCAGTCACTTAACTTTATATCAACTCCAGCCGACTAAATTCAGTCTTTTGAATTTGTGACATTGTATGTTTTGATGTAGGTATGACGATAGTGATATATCGTGACCTGTTTACTGTAATTTGCGTCATTTTTACTATCTTCACACCTACTTAACTGACATAGACATTAAAGACAAAATACAACCTGATGTTTTGAAGACAGATTCGTTCGATACTGATTAAGTCAGAATTCAGTTTGTCTAAAAAACACACAACTGAGGTATTTCCACAAGTGTTATTTTATGTCATGTATTGAATGAAAATGTTCCCCTTCAAGACATTTTCAATGGATTTTTTCCATTTCTAAATACCAGACCTTGAAGATTACGCTTCCACCACATCCCTCCACAGCAGCCTAATACGGGATATTATCTATATATATTATTTATACTGATTAAATATGGAGTGAATGTTAAATAACTACAAACTATCTTCCTTCACATCCTAATTCCTTCACACTTCAAGGTGTTTTGATGATACCCGAGGCAAGATGAAACTTTCAGGTAGACTGCCTGTCAACACGCGTGGCAAGAGATCTGATCAATTGAGGGTTGAAGAAAAAGAAATCAATAATAAATTGCCCTTCTGAGCCTGAGATGATGAATGAGTGTAAAATGTTTTTTTTTCTTTTTTTTTTTTTCTCTTTACTATAGAGAAAAGTTCAACTCCGGAGCGAAAGATTTAAGATGAACCAAAACATGTTTGTCTGTTTTGAATACATACATGTTCAAATCTACTTTGAAAGACACATACTTTTATTGGCGTCAGGGGAGAGAAATAAGTATTTGTATTTATTGCCAAGGTAAGATGAATGTTGGCTTTTACAAGCAAACTATTCCTCTGTAATGTTACTTTCAGTAGTTGACACTAGTATTTACCTATACAGTTAGCTAAATATCTTTAATAGCAGTAGGATAGCACACACTGTATTTCTTCTTTAAATACAATAAAAATCATAATTTTAATTTGAATTCATTTTTCCAATTGGAAAAAAAAAAATTAATGATGGGAAATAATTATGTCTCCCAGTCATAATTGCCACAACCATGGCACCTCTAGCCTTTACCTCTCCTTCATAATAAGCAGGTGGGTCATTCACAAAAAGAAAAAAAAATAATAATAATTTCTTATTGGTTAGCACTAGTCTGTTTATCTTGTAAAACATATTTTAAATTAACAAGGGGGCAACAGCTTTCTACAGCAATACCGGGAATGCTACATGGTAGGATTCCCTTTTTAAAATCGAATACTTTCCTCTGGTTAGCATATGTGCACGACAAGTCCTTTGGTCTGAACCAGAATCACATGCAAAGTCCGTACCTTCAAGCTGTCACATAGCAACACCAGAATGTATGATAATGACCTTGATGATGACATTCCTTTTTTATAGACAATTGTATTTCCTTGAATAATAATATGTGAATCATAGTATTATAAAAGCAAGTTTGTAGAATTGCAATTGCTCAGCAGGGAGTCAAGTCACAAAATTGTTATCAAAGATGAACCAATCAGGCCCAGTAATTATTTCTATTGTCTTAGATGTTGGCCCTGCATATCCAGATTTTTTTTTTTCCCCCAAATGGTTGTGATGCATAAGAAAACAAATATGCTGCTTGTTCTCAGAAAGAGGTAGAAGTTTTGAATCTCAAAGCAATGCGGGGAACGAACGATCTTTTCCAATGCATGCCATTAGTTGATGCTCTCATCCAAAATAAATGGAAAAAGTTCTTTAATTTGATTCAATTAATGAACTGAAACATAAAATCTGGTTCTTCTCCTGTCAATCACTGACCACGAATCAGTGGCTGACAGGAGAGTAAGGGAAAATTTGCCAATTAATTTATGCATCTCTAATAACATGCAATGCGTCTGTGCCCCGTGTTTTTAAATGCCTGATTGTTTTCACGCCGACAACGTTGCAACTATCTAAAAATCTAAATTTCAAACTGCTGATTTAAAATTATAGCAGAAATGAAAGCGAGGAGGCTTGACTGCACAGTGGACTCAAAATGTAATTCAAGCTGTGGCCTCCCTGAGCAGGAAATGTCATTAAAATTCACAGCAGTCGGTGAGAACAAAAGGCTAAACTGTAGGATTTGCTTCAGGTAAAACAAAAATATCTCAAGAATGCATTGCTTTTTATTATCTTTTATTTTTAGGTGCCATAAAATAATAGCTTTAAATCCAATTGAAAGAAGGTGTAATTTGAGACACTGTTGAGGTAATGCAAAAGTTGCTGGATGAACCGGGTCACAGGTCTACCCCCTGATTATTAAAGAGCACAAATATGATTCCTTCTGCCATGATGTGCTTCTCTACACACAGATGCATAAAACCTTGCTGCTGCCGGTTAGTCAGAGAGATGTGGGTGGTGTGGTGAATATGCATTAAGACAGGAGCATCTCTCTGATAGTTTCAGCGTGAGGGAACAAAACAAAATGTTGCAAGAGAGAGAGAGAGAGAGACTTACTGCCGCCTCGTCCTCCCTACTGTCACTGGTGTCCTCGCTCTTGTGGTGTCCGGCTGAGGAGCGAGTGTCCCTCTTTCGGCTGGCGTCCGTCCCGTCCGTCTGTCTCTCTCCATCTGGACAGGAAAACAAAACAAAAACAAAAAAATAAAACATTAAACTGTTCAGTCGGCCAGCTATTATCATTATCTTGACAAATGTCATTGCCTTTCTTATCCCCATTATTAAAATCATCATCTTCATTTTAATCATTGGCATTAATGGAGACATTTACTCAATCACGCTCATTAACATCAGTACATTTAAAATTACAAACATTATCGTTTCCATCTACACCGCGGTCAAAAATAAATTTGTGTAAATGTCATTTCTTCCCAATTATCAGACAGAAATAAACATTTTCAAACAAAAGAATAATAAGGTGGATCAGTTTGTGTGATTATAATTAGAAACCAAAACAACAGAGTAAAGTAAAAAATAAGTCTAGACAGAAAATGTGAGGAGGAGGAGGAGAGCAGGAGGAGGAAGAGTAATATAAAAAGGAAGTTTTCAACAAATAGCTTCCCAGGCAATAAAACTAAAGTGTTGTTCTGTCACAGATGGAATATGAGGGTTTTGATGCATAATGGTGACAATTACCTTGGCTGGAAGTAAACAAACAATACTTATTACGTGTCTAGCCACGTCTTCTTGTCGGAGCATCAGTTAAAAAAAGCAAAAAAAAAAAAAAAAAAAAAAAAGCAAATGATCTCTCTGTGCTGCCAGCAAACACAGACGCACACAGTTATGGATGGTCAAACTGAAGCACAAATCGATAACAGGATTTTCTGCAACTTATGAGGGTCTGGTTTTACAGAGCAACAAGAACCAAATATGTCCCCATAAGAGTTGCTGTAAACATTTGCGGCGCATATAAAAAAAAGGGGGAGAGTCCATTCCCCATTCGGGCCAACCTCTTTTTATTTGTATTTGACTTCATTTGATCCCATTTGGCTGACATGGCTCAGGAATGCCCAACGCTGTCGCTGCGAGGAAGGGATTCAATAAAAGATGGCGCTTGTTTGTAGTGCTGTTGACTCCCTCATAAAAAGTGATGGCGACCGAGTGTGTGAGGGGTGGGGGCGACTTTGTGCTCTCCTAAAGATGAATGCATTACAGTACAATTGGTTCATTACCGTCTGCCTGACGGTGGTGGCTGTAGTTTACACACACACTTTAAAGAAGAGTGGCTTAGCAGGATCTCACTCACACACACACACGCACTCACACACGCACACATGCAGACACATACACCACACAAACACGCACACAAGGGAAGCGAATGTGATTAAAAGACAAAATGGGGAGAATGGGTAGATATAAAGCATAATGAGCACTAATAGTTTTCCAATATGTTCCCTTAACAACAAGTCTGAGTGGGTTGAGTTGGATGCAATGATTGAAGAAGGGGTGGAGCTGCGGGGAGACTTAGAGACTGAAGGACAACCACAGTGTTGTTGATTTTTCCTCCTCACTCAGATACAAAAACAATGAAGTACAGCAGAGACGGTCTAACCAAAGGTGCAAAAATGAATATACATGTATTTTTTTTTTTTTTTTTTGATTGGGTCAAAGTACTTTTTGAAAGTTTCCAGCAAATGCAATCTGATTTCCTTTCCACATTTGCTTGGAGATCATCTTGCCTGTCCTTCTCCGTTTCCAGACAGCTGTAATCAGATATGCTTTGATCTGAGGAAGAACATTTACAGCTCACAATAAATTACCCATCCACTTACCCCCACCCCCCCACCCTCCCATCCAAAAAAAATAAAATAAAATAAAATAATAAAAACACTGAGCAAGTTTAGATTACAAACATGGTAACTATAAGAGGTGGTACTCCGAAAGCTGCCCTAATTAACTTTGGCTCGTGAAAACTGAAGCAGGTCATGAGTTTTAACTTTACATTTAAATGCTCTCTGCCCAAAATTATTTTTAGGCCAAGCCGATGTGTGAACAGTTTCCAGCTTTCACATCAGTGCTTTATGCAAATGATGTGGCGCCGATAACTTTAAAGTGCAGACGTCAAGGCAGCTTTCAAATAAGTTTAAAGGATTTGTGAAGAGAATTACGATGGCAGCTTCAATTAAAAAGGCCATGGTCTCAAGGTGGAAAAGGATGTACTGCTAACTCTCATGCAGCTTGAGTTGTTGTATTGGTTTGTAACATTTTGAGAGAAAAAGAAGAGTTCAAGGATGCTATTATTGGTTTCTGAGGCTAACATTTACACTATAGTTTATCCTGACACTCCTGGTGTGCAATCCTCTTCATCAACCCACTATTTTATTGGTGATTCGCCATTTATGTTGACAATTTATGTTTACAAAAACCTGTCATCTCCACTAGGCACATAACGTGTGCCTAATGAAGTGGCCAGTGAGGGCATCCCTTATATTCTTTTAGGTGAAGACTACATTAATTATTTAACTCAAGTCCATCTACCAAATAGTTTTATGAAGAGCAAGCCATGCAGAAAAGGGAAAGATCTCTTGCTTTGTTCTTTCACTTTGATTTAGTTGTAAAAGGAATCCCTTGCATGACAAACCAGAACCCAAAAACTTCATTTCAAACACACTTGAGAACAACATACAGCCGTCCCAAGCTCTTAAAATCTCTAGAAATATCGACCTGAAACAGCAGCCAGGTGTCAGAGAGTGAAGGATCCATAAAATAAGGTTAAACCGATCATTCAGACATGACATATTCTTCAACCATGAAGCAAATATTTACGAATTATCCCAATCCTGTTAGAATATTTTGTTGAACACAATCCGAGTCTCTGCGTTTATCCACGGCTGTAGAAGACTAAACTTTATTCACCGTAACAGAAAATGTCGTCCGATTTGTTCACTCAAGTTTCTCCAACAGTCCAAAAAAAAAATCTGAAAAAGCTTGCCGGGTTTGTTGTTTATGCATATGTGTACGTTAACGTGAGCATCCTGGAACATGCATCAAGACTCTCTTGATTTGTTTATGTGTGCATCTGTTCACACGTATAAAAACGGGAATTAAGTTCGGATTTTCTCCCGTGTAGCTTTTCTGACGTCTTCGCTGCTGCAGCCACACATTTTCTTATATTCCTTGTTCAGTACGTTTGCCTTCAGCGGAGCTGCAATGCATGACTTTTATTCTGAGTTTATTGAAACCAAGTTTCAAAGAAAAGGACGCACGCAAGGACATCTCACATACTCTCCGCAGCAAGCTAAAAGTCAGTGCCTGCTCTGTGACAAGACTTCCTCAAGCCTCTATACTACCTTTAATGAAGTAATGAAGAGCGGACTGGCAGGTTAATGGAAGCCAATTGACTACAAGCTCTGCCACCAGCGGGAAACCACGCAGCATACTAATGATTAAAGAGTCACCTGTCTTATGTTCTGCTTAATCAGTTCATGGCCTCCAGTTCCAAACCGGCAGAAATATTTAATGTGCAGATGAAGAAGTGATTGAGTGCAACTTCTTCAACTTTGAGTGTAACAAAAAGTTTACGTGGGGGAGGCATCTTGGCGCACAAACATTTGGGGAAAAAAAAAAAACTTTCTCTCAGGTTCAGCTGTTTTTAAGGAGCGAGTAATGACTTCGCCTTGCCTGGCATGCCTTTAAAACTACTAAACTTTAAAGAGTTCACCCGACCGCAGCTGTCAGAGCTCACATCAGAGTTGAGGAGGTGTCAGGTTACATGTATACATATGGGTGTGTGTAGATCAATGTGCTTGTGTGCATATGCGCACAGCATATGGAAATGCTCGTGTACGTGTGTCTGCACGAATGACAAGAACACCGGGTTTTCTGTGAGGTGGTTTTTCTCTGTACGCCAAGTGATGAACAGCAAGGTGATACAGCAGTATGCTAATCAGAGAAAATGCTGCGGCAGAAGCTGAAACTATGGATAAGGAAGAGAAGGAAGAAAAGCAGGCAGGATGTTGTTGTGAAATATTTCATTATTTTAAAGGGGAGAAAGTAACAATTTCTAGCACAATCAAGTAGTTCTTATAAAACTGCTGTATATATATATCAAACATGACAGCATTCGGTTTTTATGCTCCACTAACTTCCAGAAAAGTGCAAAAACAGTGAGAACACTGAAGTTCCTTCAAATCAAGGCTAAAAACCAACTTGTATAGAGTTGCCTTTAATTAATAATAACTGGAACATCAATCATTATATCTGATGTATATTTGCTGGATGACTTTGTTGATGGCATTTGACAAAGTGTAATGTTTACTGCTTATTTAATAACTGGTTACTGTGTTGTCTTTTTATGGTGTAAAGAGCTTTAAACTGCCTTGTTGCTAAAATATGCTACACAATTCAATTTGACTTGACTTTAGAAGTGTAATCTTTCAATAAATAAAAAAGAATGGCAGCCATACAGACATTTTTGTGCAAGAAAAACAAATAGGCATTCAGACAAACCACTTTTTCTGTGATAATTGTTGAGATTTTGGAGATTCTGGCATGGAATAAGAGGTGTTAAATGCTGTTAAAGGACCATCTGGGGACATGCGTTGTAACTACCTAAGGCCATAAATGTTATAGTGTTTAGTATTTGTTTATACTTAACATTTGTCCCCATGCAAATTGACAATAAAAGAAAGGTTTACTGCACCTTCTCCATATAAAAAAATACAAATAAAAAAAAATCAAACTCGGTGTCTCTGAGCGCACTGCAATTGATCCATGCGGAGATACATAAATGAGTATCAATGGGTTTAGTTTGAACACATGTGATGAACCCAAGTCAATTAAAAATTGATAAATAATAACCGGTTGTCCGGAAGCCATCAGGACTTGTTCTTTGCAATAATCCCAGTAAGAGTGATATAACAGCAAAAGAAAAATCAATTATACTAGCTCACAACATTTAGAGCACAATGCCACTTCCTCTTCCTGCAATTGATTTACAAGTGTCGTCTCAAGAGGGACTCTTACGTGGTCAGTTGGTGGAACAGAGAACAGAAGAAGCATGCATTAAAGTACGTTATTGTTAGTCGTCTAAAAAGGCTTTCAAAAATCAATTTGAAACAAATATTTAATGCTGCCAGCCATCTGTGTTCCTCCATTTGAAATATTATGAGAA